GGAGCTGGGTGTGGGCCCAGCCCCACAGGGTGAACTCCACGTGCTGTGGCTCTGCTTCCCCCCAGAAAGGCTACGATGACCTGCAGGCCATCGTCCCCACCTGCGAGCAGCAGGATTTCTCTATCGGCTCCCAGAAGCTGAGCAAGGCCATTGTCCTCCAGAAAAGTGAGTCCCAAGGGGTGGGGAGATGGAAGGGGTTGCTGTCAGTCCCCCAGAATGCCTCCCTAGAGCTGTGCAGGGCAGAGTTCAGCACCTTGGGACCTTGTGGTGCGATGAAGCTCTGGGGAGCTCAGGTGCTGCTCACCTGCACCTGCCTGTCCGCAGGCTGCAGTGGAAGCTGATGCTGCCCTTGCTTGGGCACCTCCCGTGGGGGTCTCAGGGGCCTGTGTGTGCTCCCAAATCCTCACTCTGTGTTTTCATACTCAGCCATTGACTACATCCAGTTCCTGCACAAGGAAAAGAAGAAGCAGGAGGAGGAAGTTTCTACCCTCAGGAAAGATGTGATGGCCTTGAAGATCATGAAAGTGTAAGGGAAGAGCTGTCAGGGTCATGCCCTCCTCCTGCTGTTCCCCCATGTCCTTGCAGGGAAGAGCTGCCAGGGGTCATCCAGAGGTTCTCTGGCTGGGAACAGGCCTGGAGCTTGGAGCTGAGCACAGGAGCTGGGTGTGGGAGCTGGGAGCAGGAGCTCAGAACCAGGAGCAGGAGCTGGGTGCAGACGCCTCACTGCTGACCTCGAGGCCCTGTACTTGTTTCAGGAACTATGAGCAGATTGTGAAAGCTCATCAAGACAACCCAAACGAAGGGAAGGACCAGGTCTCTGATGAAGTGAAATTCAATGTTTTCCAAGGCATCATGGATTCCCTGTTCCAGTCCTTCAATGCCTCCATCTCTGTAACAAGTTTCCAGGAGCTCTCAGCGTGTGTGTTCAGCTGGATCGAGGAGCACTGCAAGCCCCAGGTGAGCACTGGTGCCATGGCCCAGGGGGAGAGACAGTGGCATGGGGGCAGCTGTTGCCCTACAGACTGACTGACCGTGTCCTCTCTCTGCTGCAGACACTGCGGGACGTTGTCATCGGGGTTCTGCACCAGGTGAAGAGTCAGCTCTACTGAGCCTCCTCCGCTGCCTCTGTGCCCGTGGGGACAGGGCACCTCCTGCCTACGGGCCTGGGGGACAGGCACCCTCCTGGGCCCTCTCCCTCGTGGCTGTTTTTGAGCTTTTCTGAATTATTTATTGTATTCCCTCCGAAGCCCAACGGTGGCCGTGCAGACACAGCTGCTCTGCTCGGTGTTACCGAGTCTTGGTAGGGACTGGGCAAGAGGGGAGGCAAAGGGAATGTGGAGCAGAGGAGTGAGGGCAGAGTCTGTGGCTCAGGCAGTGCTGTGAGGTTGCCTGTGCCACCGACTCTCCCTGCAGAGCTGACCCCGGAGCAGCTCTGCTCTGTGCCCTCAGGCCTCTGACAGCCCCGCTGACCCCGGCTGGGGAAATGTGATGAATGTGTGCTAAAAATGATGGGTTTCTGGTGAAACAGTAGGAATAGATTCTCCCCAACTTCTGGGCTGTCTCCCCCCTCCCTTTGAGGCAGATGTGTTCTGGGAGAGCCTGTCAGTGCTGGCAGCAGGATGAGCCCCTCAGTGCCAGGGTGCTCCTGCAGCTGTGGGTTCCCTGGTAGGGACACAGGAAGTTCCTGCAAGTGCTGGACTGTATCCAGCTCCCTCTTGGGTTGGCTGTGGCTGTGCTGCACAGAATGTTCTGCAGCTGCAGCACAATGTGGCCACATGCACTTGCTGCCCCTCCTTAGAATTTTTAAACACACACATCCATGACCAGCCTTGATTTGATTTTTATTTTTGTAAATCACTGAAACGGTCCTGGAGTGCTGCCAGTGCCAGCTGTGCAGGCAGCTGCTCTCAGGGACACCTTTGCCCCTGTCTCACGCCCAGTTTGGGTCACAGCTCTGCCCAGCTGATGGTTGGTCATTGCCCAGAGTAATGGGATAGTGGGATTTGTTCTCTGTAACCACGTTTGTGCTCCTGCTCCAGGGGCACAGCCAGGGAGTGTTTATTTCAGGCTGTTTTGTTCCCAGAGCTGAGGAGGGAGTGTTGCTTCCTGCCTTGGGAGGAGGATGAGAAGTTTTACAGACCTCACACATGAAAGTGATGTATTTTTCTATTGAGAAAAGTAATTAAATATTGCTGAATGTTTTAGTGATTTTTCTGCTGCTGTGTTCCTAGAGCTGGGTCCTAGAGCCAGTAGTTTGCAGAAGCCCCTTCTAGTCTCTGTGGTTCATGTTACCCTCTCCTGGCTCCCACCCTTCCCACCCCTCAGGACCTAAACCCTGCCCCAACACCCTCTGAACAGACAAACACCACAGGGAAGCACAGCTGAACCAAAATTCTGGTGTTTAATGGATCATATTCTTGTGTGACCACTCAGGCACACGGCGAGAAGGGGCTGGATCACATACAGAGCTCTGCAGCCCTGACAGTCCCTCACTCTTTCCATACTGGAGCACCAGTGCCCCCCACCTCCCCCACATCCCTTTTCTTACCAGAACAGCAGGGACACAGCACCAGTGCCCCCACACCTCTCCTCAGCCCCACTGGACCCCAGTTTGGCAGCTCCCTGTGCTGAGGGGCAGGAAGAAACAACATCCCTCTGCAAGGAGAGGGCCAGTGCCAAGTCTCTCCCACCCACCACCCTTCCAACTGCAAAAGAATTCTAAACACATAAATACACGGGATGATCCCAGGTCCTGCAAAAAGAGAAACAGAACAACCCAACAGCCAAGTTTCAGCAGCAGCTCCACAGCAGCAGCTTCTCCCCGGGGCAAAGGCTCCCCCAGCCCCTCACAGGGCCGCTGGCAGCACCACGCCATGCTCCTCATCCGTCTCTATCCCGACCTCCTCCTGTACAGCACCGGTGGGTCAGGGCAGGTCAGGGCCTGGCTCAGCAGCCCCGGGCAAGTTCCAGCCTCGGTACTTACGAAGAATTGCTTCTTGCTCTTGGGGTACCCCTCCAGGATGGCATCCAGCAGCTCGGTGGCCTGACGGGACAGGGCACGTGAGGGGCTGTGGGGGGCCCGTCCCAGCAGGGACTGACTGACCCCCAGCCCCCAGTGAGTACCATCCGCTTCCTCCGGCGCCACTCCCGGCGGTACAGCTGCTGCTCCCGGCACACCTGCCAACAGCACCACGTTGGGAATGCCCATCAGGGATGTGCTGGATCCCGGTGGAGGCCCAGCCCAGCACCAGGCTCAGCGCCGGCAGCTCTTTACCTTCTCCTTTTCCTCTGGAGTCACGTGGTTGGTGG